TGCTTTCTTTATCCTTCTTTCTCTCTCTCTAAAAGTATGGAATTAATTTTTGGGTGAAATAACAGTACAAAGTCAATATTTCTAAACCCTAAATAGCAATCCCAAAGCTAAGATTGTGGGTTTTAGACGGGAGAGAATAACGGGTACCAATTATACTCTCAGTCTCAGCCTCAGCCGTCGGTAAATAGATAGAGACAAACAAAAGAGCTTTGGGTTTAGGGAAAAGAAAGAGAGGGCTTTGCCCAACCAAAGACGACGATTCAAATAGCACCAGAGGGCTCTCTATTTTTCCTCTTTCTCTTGATTCTCACCTCTCACGCACCTAATCACCCTTCCAATTGGCTATTTTTCCACGGGACACTACTCTATTCGTTGCATTGCATCACTTTGTCGTTATGTCTCTCACTTTTATTCTCTTTATTGGTGGGCGACATCCTTATTGTGACGGTCATGGATATTTGGGAGTGTTTCTGATAATTTTAAATACAGCGACATTTAAATAAGAGTAAATTTTATCTTATTTTTAGGTTAGATAGCTGAACAGATGGTAGTAGATCTTATTTTCTGGTTAGATCTAGGATAATTTAGAAAGTTGTAGGAGGAAATGAGCCAAGAAAAAGAATGAGGAGGCTGAAATTAGCAAACAATTAAATTCTGATGAAGATCACATGCCAACAAGAAACGATTGATGGCAGAGAGAGAAACCATACAGCGTCAAAATTTGAGCTTTGAATGGTGGCTGGCCAGTGTTGAAATTCTTTAGAGAGAAAGAGAGAGAGGGAGGGAGAGAAAAGAAATGAAAAAAATAATAATTTAGGCTTAGCTAATGTGACCGTTTATGTGGCATATGACATGGCTGTCACATAATTTTTTTGTTAATAATTGGATGAAAATGTTAGGTGATTATATTTGTCAGATTTAGCAAAATTTAATCATTTTGTTAGTACAAATTAAAGTTTGAGTGAGTTAGATGAAAATGATGATGATAGTACAAATTAAAGTTTGAGTGATTTGTACTCTATTTATCTTTCAATTCAAAAAGAAAAATTTATTTTTGTATTTGATTTGAGTTTGATCAAAATTTAATTTTTAAGTTTAAATTTAATTTAAATATAAATTAAAATACTTAATCTCTTATGATTAAATTTATTTAATAAAAAATATATTTAATTATCAAACTTTTATTTTAAATTTATTTATGCATTTGAATTTAAATTCAAATTGATATATATAAAAATAAAATAATAATTTTTTATTAAAATGATAAAAAATATTAAAACATAAAATTTTGATTAAATTTATAAGTTATTCGAGTCAAGTATTAAAATATTTAAATTGTTTAAATTGTTCGAATTTGAATAAATAATAATCAAATTAAATTCAATTTTTATTTGAGTTGAATTAAAAAAATTTATAAAAATTAATTTATTATTTATATCCCTAAATTTGACATGGATCTATAATGAGAAAGACATGAAAATGGAATAATATATTTTAAAACTGATCGTTAGAATTAAATTATTCTATGGCTTTTAGATTACTCTTAATCCAACAATGATCATCTCACTCTAAATGATTTAGCAAGTCTTTAAGTTGTCAATGCATCATTCTCCAATTAATTAAGTAAAGCAGTTTATCTCTATAGTTTTTTGTAAAAATTGAGTACTTGTTAAATTCATTATTTATCTTTTATTATTTACTTTTTTATTTCTTTTGCACTGATGGATACAAATAAAAAATATATAGTATATTAAAAAGAAAAATAACATATAAGATTAATGATACATTAAAATTTATAATGAAATTTTATTTCAAATACTATAATTAATTAAAAAATTTTAACATTCATTACATATTACATAGGCATGGTATAGTCATCTGCTACAAGTAACTCTCTAATTATGTAGAAAATAATTAACAAATTAAAAATCTGTTATGAATATCTTTTGGTGGTAAATACGAGAGCACCATTTTTTATTGCTTGTTTTGACCGTTTGTTGGATATTATATTCTATTTTTTCCTTCATACTTTATTATTAAAGTTAATCAAGACAAGGATAATAGGTGAAGTATCTTTTTCTACATAAAAAAATTAATCAAGTACCAGAAAATTTAATCATATAATGTAATCATTTTGGACAAAATATTGAAATTTACCGACGTAGCCTTCATAAAAGGCTTAACGAATAGCCAAGCTTACCTTAGATTAAAGCTTCCCCATTTTATTGATAATATTATTGTGTGTTAGTTTCATAATAACTTAATTATATAATTTTTAAGTGTATGAAAAAATGACTATACCTTTATTGTATATTTGAGCTGTTTGTATCATATATCTTTTCAATATGTCTCAATTCTTCACTCAAAGTGCATTACTAATTTAATTTTCTTTTTATGTGATGAATCATGATAATTAATCCAATTACTAATTAGTGAACATGGGAAGATATTTTTAGGCCAGCTCTTTTGCTGTTTTAATTGTTTCTTAAAATGAATTAGGAATGATATGGTTTACCAATGAGAAATTCTTTTGGAATGGTTGTGAATTTTGTTTATTGGAGATAAAAAGGATGAAGCAATAGCTCAATAAACAAGGTGGAACTACAAAGGGTGTTTTAATAAAAAAAATTTTATTATTTGATATTTAATAAAAATAATTAATTGGAAAGAAATATTTATGTTTAAATTAATAAAAAAATAAATTTATTTTTTTAATATTAATATCCAAAAATGTACTTATTTTATTTTTTTTGGATGTACATATTTTATAAAATAATTAACATATATATTAACTATATGTACATATATTATAGTTTTGAATTAAGATTATTGAATATTACAAAAATAAAAATAATTTTCATTTTTTTATTAATATATTATAAAATTTCACTAATTATTTTTAATATGGTACCAATTAATAAATTTTCTTGTTACTTTTCGAAAATTTCCAGACAAATATTTGGGCTGTTTTCCATTACTTAGAAAAAAAAAAAAAAGAAAGGACCAGAGAAAAAATGAAGTCATGGGCCATTGCTTTTGTCGGTCACATGGCTTTTGTAGGCCACTATGGAATTTATTGAGGAAATAACAATATCAAAAGAAAAAGAAGACGACTTGGATGAAAAAGAGTCTTCTTTTCTCTACATTTTACATAATTATCATAAAACCAATCTTCGGCCATTAAACCTAAAAAAAAAAAAAAAAAAGCAAAAACCCATTTCTGCTATCAGAAGCTGAGTGTTCTATTAATCTCTTTTGTTCGGATATTCCAATCAAATAAGTGAACGTTCTCTTTTCAATTTCCAAGCTTTTTTTATCATTTCAGTACGAACTTGATTTTTTTGTTTTCTTGTCTAAGAGTTCTAAGGTTGATTTCTATTTGCTTTTCCTTCAATTTAAAAAGAGGAATGTGATTTTGAATTTGATTTGAGTTTAATTAAATTTTAAATTTTAATTTTAAGTTTATCTCAAGATAAAATTTGAGATATTTAAATTCTTTTAATAAATATAAAGATAAAATAATAATTTTAAATTAAAATAATAAAAAATGAGAAATTCTTTTGAATTAGTTTTAAATTTCGTTTATAGGATATAAAGAGGATGAAACAATAGTTGTATAAACAAAGAAGAACTACGAAAGATGTTTTAATAAAAAAATATTTATTATTTTATATTATAATAAAAAATAATTAATTGGAAAGAAATATTTTATATTTAAATTAATAAAAAAATTAAATTTATTTTTATAATATTAATATCCAAAAATGTAATTACTTTATTTTATTTTTTGGAAGTGCATATTTTATAAAATAATTATACATGTATATTAATTAAATATACATATATTATAATTTTGAATAAAGATCATTGAACATTACAATTACAAAAATAATTTTAATTTTATTTATTAATATATTATTATTTTTTCACTAATTATTTTTAAGATGGTACGAATTAATAAATATTTGTGTTACTTTTTGGAAATTTCCCTCAATAAAAGGACTGATGTTTGGGCTGTCTTCCATTACTTAGATAAGAAAGGAAGAAAAAAACCAAGAAGATCCCGACAAGAAAAGAAGTGATGGGCAATAAATTTTATTTTATTTTATTTTTTGGAAGTGCATATTTTATAAAATAATTATACATATATATTAACTAAATATACCTATATTATAATTTTGAATAAAAATAATTGAACATTACGATTATAAAAATAATTTTCAATTTTATTTATTAATATTTATTGTTTTTTCAGTAATTATTTTTAATATGATACGAATTAATAAATATTTGTGTTACTTTTCGGAAATTTCCCGCAATAAAAGGACTGATTTTCGGGCTGTCTTCCATTGCTTAGATAAGAAAGGAAGAATAAAACAAGAAGATCCCGACAAGAAAAGAAGCGATGGGTAACGACTTTTGTCGGTCACATGGCTTTGGTCGGACACTATGAAATTTAATAATGAAATAACAATATTAAAAGAAAAAGAAGGAGACTTGCATGAAAATAAGTCTTCCTTTCTCTACATTTTTCGTGCCAATCTTAAAATAAATCCTTTGCCCATAAAACTTAATATAAAAAAAAAAAAAAGCAAAAGCTCATTTCTGCTATCAGAAGCTGAGTGTTCTGTTAATCTCTTTTGTTCGAATTTTCCAAGTGGATAAATGGTATGATGATCAAAGAAACAAATCTTTATAATGTTGGTGACTAAATCATTACTTTTTATAGTTTGGTGTCCAAAATAAAAAATCAACTAAAATTGTTTGACCCAACAAGTAATTAATCGTTTTTAGACGGTTGCTTAACTGTTACAGTATGATACGATTTTTTTGGTTTTCTATCCTATCAACACAAATTTTTTTATTTCATGTTTTCTGAGTAATGTATCCTTATAAATTATCTAAAAATATTGTTTTCTATCACGTGTTTTCAGCTTGGTAGAGTGTCGAAGAAAGCCATTTGGTTCTCATACTTTGAATTGTCTTCACCTTGCCTCATAACGTGCTTAAAAAGTGTTACTTGGCAGAAAACTGAAGAAAAAGCAGTTGGTTGTCACACTTTGGACTATCTTCACCTTGCTTGGTATGTTTAGAGAGTTCACCTTCATTATTCTTTAATTTTCTTTTAGCATCTTCACCATAATTTATCTCATGGCCAATATTTTTATGTTTGGCAGAAGTTTGTTCAACTTGAGCTTGTGAAGAATGGGTTGTGGGTTTTGTGAGTCTGCTCTTTCTAACTGCGTGGGAACACTGCTTGTGGATTGGGTGGCGAAGCCAGTAGGACGTCAATTTAATTACATTTGCCATTTTCACCACAATGTTGAAAAGCTCAAGAAAAGAAAAGAAGATCTGAAAAAGGCACGGGATCGGCTGCAACATGACATTGAGGATGCTGAAAGGCAACTTCAAGAAATTGAAGATGATGTCAAAGATTTGCTATCACGGGCAGACATAATCCTATCTGATGAAACTCTAGAAAATGAAATGCAACGAAATATGAGATGTTTCATTTGGTGTCCTAACTGGAGTAGGCGGTATTGGTTAAGCAAGAAAGCAATGAAGAACACTCTTGTTATTGGTGAGCTTATTGAGAAGATCGCCAAATTTAGTCAACCTGGACGAGTGGGCTACCGTTCACGTAGTACAAATCAAACCATAGAATTTCTCTCATCCAAGGATTTTATGATTTTTGAATCTTCAAAAAAGGATTCGATCAGATAATTGAAGCCTTACAGGACGACAAGGTCAGCATGATTGGATTGTGGGGGATGCCAGGGGTGGGCAAGACAACCCTAGTCCGTGAAGTTGGAATTCATGCCAAAAAATTAAATCTGTTTGACAAAGTTGCGATTGCTACTGTGTCTCAAAAGCCAAACTTTGAAACAATTCAAGATGAAATTGCAAAATACTTGGATTTCGATATGAAGAATGCCCAAGGAAGAAGATCGATCCAGGAGTTCTGGTCGAAACTGCAGAAGGAGAAAAGGATTCTAATAATCCTTGATGATGTTTGGGCAAAAATTGACTTAAAGGACCAGATAGGAATTCCATTTGCTGATGATCATAAAGGCTGCAAAATTCTTTTAACAACACGCCGTCAACACCTATGTGTTACCATGGAATGTCAAAGGACAATACTTCTTGGTTGTCTAAATGACCATGAAGCTTGGACTTTATTTGAAAGGAAAGCAGGTCTAGATAACTCTTCTGATGACGCTATTAAACATGTGGCATCTAAAGTTATCAAAAAGTGTCAGGGTTTGCCCATAGCTATAGTTACATTGGGAAGTGCTCTAAAAGGTAAAAATCTTCATAGCTGAGAAGCAGCATACAGGAGACTCGAAAACCGCAGATTGGATGACATAGAGGACATTGATGAAAAAAATGTTTACCTAGTTCTTGAGGTGAGTTTTGATTATTTGAATGATAAGGAGACCAAGATGTGTTTCTTGTTGTGCTCTTTATTTCCTGAAGATCATGAGATTTATGTAGAGGAGCTGGTGAGATATGCATGGGGACTAGAGTTGTGTAAAGGTATGGGCTCAATTGAAGAAGTGAGGAGCGAAGTGCTTGCGGCGATGGACATCATCAAGGATTCTTGTTTGTTGTTAAATTGTGGAGAAAGGCATGTTAAATTGCATGAGCTGGTTCGTGATGTTGCTTTGTGGATAGCATCAAACAAAAAGGAGTTTTCTTTTATGATAAAATCTGACGTTGTTGAAATGTGGCCAAAGGAAGAAAGTCTTGAGTCTTACGATGCAGTCTTCTTCAATACTAGTCGGATTGTTGAACTTCCTAAATGACTGGTATGCCCAAATCTCAAAATCCTTTTACTTGGTGGAGATGGGAACATGATAACTTCAAGTGAATTCTTTGAAGGAATGAAAGCATTGAAAACTTGCACTCTGAATTCTAGATTGATATCTCCAGATGCATTTCAGTTTCAAACAAACCTGAGAACTCTTCATTTGGAACCTTGCAAACTCTTGGACATCTCAGTGCATGGGAAGTTGAAGAAACTTGAAGTTCTTTCATTTAGTTGCTCTGATATCAAAGAATTGCCAGAAGAAATAGGTAATTTGGATAATCTTAAATTGTTGGATTTGTCATATTCTGTACAACTACAGAGAATCCTTTCTCAGTTAATACGAAGCTTGTCCAAATTAGAAGAACTATACTTGCATGGTTGTCAATTTTTAAGTTGGGCCACTGAGAACACAGTTCAAGAAGAAAGCTTTGCCAGTCTATCAGAGTTGAATTCGTTGTCAAACTTGATTATATTATCTTTAGAGGTTTATTCTGAAGATATTCCAAGAGACTTTGTGTTCTGTAAATTACAAAGGTTTTATGTATGTGTTGGCTTTGGCTTTTCTCATTTTATTAAGGGAAGATGGACTTTGAGATCTGCCCATTCTCGAGATCTTTAAAAATTAAGGGGTCTGTAATAGAGGCATGCAAGCAGTTATTTGAGGTTTCAGAATCTCTTAATCTGAAAAATGTGGTGGGTTACCAAAATCTTGTTCCAAGCTTGGAGTAGGGCCAAGTGGTATTCAGTAAGCTGACTTCTCTGGATCTTGAGAGTTGCAAGCATATGAAATGTCTCATTGATACTACAAAGCAGCAGGAGCTAACCAATGCATTCTCTAATTTGTTAGAATTATCTTTAACAAATATGCGTGGATTGGAAGAGCTGTGCAGTGGTCATCAACCGCAAGGGGTTTTGCTCAAATTAAAAACTTTGATGACAGATAATTGCTGGAACATGCAAGTGCAATTCCAATTCTACAAAGTCTTGAAAGGTTGGTAGTTAAATATTGTGATGAGATGCAAGTGCTATTTCAGATTGCTGAATTGAGGAGCATACAACAAGGACCCAGTCATCATGTATGCTTACAAAGTTTGAAGGTTGTAAGAATAGACAACTGCAATAAATTGAGATATCTCTTCCCAACGTCTGTTGCTATAAGTCTTGGGCAACTGGAAACGCTGAACATATCCTCATGCTTGGAATTGGAAGAAATAATTCCCAAAACGGAAGTGTCAAACATCAATCTCCAAAGTCTAAGCGAAGTATATGTACGTGGCTGCAATAACATGACATCTCTTTCCTCACCGTCGCATGGTCAAATTTTGGAGAAATTGACAACACTTAAGATTCGAGATTGCTCTCGAATGGAATATACTTTTTTCAATCTCAATGGCTGAAGGTCTTCCACAGTTGCATAAGGTTACATTGCGCGGTTTGCCTGAATTTAAAGGAAGGAATGGAAATGACATTGTACTCACGCTGCCATCTTTACAAGAGTTGAAAATGAGAGAGTATCCACTATTTATCATTTCGGGGAAAATGCAGGTAAGCCTATTTATTTGTGTTTTTACTCTTTCAACTATGTTGGTAGGAGGAATAGAAAGAGTGGAAGAATAGAAAGACAGCGAAAAAAAAAAAAAAGAAAGGAAACTTAATCCATTTGAATTGAGAGAAAAAAAATTCTTTTTTCCTTAAATAAAATTTTTTTTATAAATTTTCTTCTAATGATTTTTTCCTATATTTTATCTTTGGAATCAAACACTAAGAAAGTAAAATAATTTAACTACATAGTGTTAATGTCATTGACTGAAAAGTTTTCAAGTGCTACAATATTCAAAAAATAGACTTTGCATCACTTTGCATAAAACTAATGTGAATCTACTTTTCCTTACTTAAATAATGATCATTAAAATATCAACTGTGGACTTTTATGATAGCAGTCACTGCTAAAATGCATTAGGCATCCATAAGCTTTGTGCAATATTATTTTACTTTCATCCATGATCTTATAAAACCCAAGTTTTTCATTTAAAACTTCTTAAAATATTTTAAATTCATCTATTACACCAATCATGGTTAAAAAAATTAATAGAACATATCATTTTCAATGTTACATGAATGTGCATATGACATGAATTTCAACTTAAAAAGTTTAAAAAACTCTTACCTTTTTATGACATGCAAGTTCACGTAGTTATACACAAAATATTTTGAGATGATAAATTTAGTCAAAATTTAATGATTGATTGTTCAAATTGATGAATTTGAATTTAAAAACTAGTGAATGAAAATTTTGAGTTTTAATTAAAAAGTCAAAGAATACCATCTTACCACATGAACGTTCACATGGACGTACATACACATGATTCGAAGATGCTATAGTTTGTCAAATTTTAGTCACGGTTTATAGAATTTATGATGAGATGCAAGTGCTATTTCAGATTGTTGAATTGAGGAGCATACAACTAGGACCCAGTCATCATGTAAGCTTACAAAGCTTGAAGGTTGTAACAATAGACTACTGCAATAAATTGAGATATCTCTTCCCAACGTATGTTGCTGAAAGTCTTGGACAACTGGAAACCCTGAACATATCCTTATGCTTGGAATTGGAAGAAATAATTCCCAAAACGGTGTCAAACATCAATCTCCGCAGTCTAAGGGAAGTATATATATGTGGCTGCAATAACTTGACATCTCTTTCCTCATTGTCGCATGGTCAAATTTTGGAGAAATTGACAACACTTAGCATTGGGGATTGCTCTCGATTGGAATATACTTTTCCAATATCAATGGCTGAAGGTCTTCCGCAGCTGAATAAGGTTACATTGGAAAGATTGCCTGAATTAAAAGGAAGGGATGGAAATGACATTGTACTCACGCTGCCATCTTTACAAGAGTTGTGTGTGGATGATTGTCCACAATTGACTCCTTTTATCATTTCGCCTAAAATACGGGTAAGCCTATTTATTTGTGGTTTTACACTTTCAACTATACTTTGTAGGAAGAATATAAAGAATGGAAGAATAGATAAGAGAGCCGAAAGAAAAAAAATGGAAACTTAATCCATTTAAATTGGGAGAGAAAATTCTTTTGTTCTTAAATAAAACCTTTTTTATAATTTATTTTTGGAAGCAAACACTAAGAAAGTAAAATAATTTGACTACATAGTGTTAATATCGTTGATTGAATTTATTTTCTTGATAAGTTGGTGACCGAAAAGTTTTCCAGTGCTATAATATTTAAAAGATAACTTTGTATCACTTTGGGTAAAATTAATGTGAATCTACTTCTCCTTACTTAAGTAGTGATAATTAAAATCTCAATTGTAGACTTTTAAGATAGTTGTCACTATTAAAATGCATTAGGCATCTATAATCTTTGTGCAATATTATTTTATTTTCATCCACAATCTTATGAAACAATTTTTTCATTTACACCTTTTAAAATATTATAAATTCATCTATTACATCAATCATTATTAAAAAATTAATAGAACAAATCTTTTTTAATGTCACATGGATGTGCATATGACAAGAATTTCAACTTAAAAAGTTACAAATAAACTCTCACCTTTTTATCATGTGCATGTTTACATGGTTATACACATGTACAATATTTTGAAATGACAAATTTAGTCAAATTTTAATGATTAATTGTTGAAATTGATGAATTTGGAATATTTTAAAAAATTCGTGAATGAAAATTTTAAATTTTACTTAAAACCATGAATGAAAATGAAATATTGTACAAAAGTCATGGATGTAAGGTGTAATTTACTTTAATTTTCATTGACATTTTTTTTGCTAGTTGTCTTTTTCTTTACATTTGAAATAGGAATTGTCCATTCTAAATATGTTATTACTTTTTGTTTTCAATTTTTAGGAATTTACTATAATTAGTTTCTTGAGTTGTTTATATCGATCTC